TCACTGAGGGGCGGCGGAATGGTGCATGGAAGCGTACGAGATTCCATAGGCGAAGAAGCCAGAAAATGACTGTGCGTGGACGGATGTAAGAGTAGAGATCACTGGTAATGAAGTGGCGATTCCACGTACCATAGCGAGATGAGCTCCCATGACGACTGCGATACTGCGCGGTAAGTGTGAGCGCCGTGACTGGCTCCGGGCTCAGTAACTCACATGACAAAGTACATAATACTAGAGAAATACTGAGAATGGACACTTTATAAAAGGGCGTAGAGCTGACCTATCATTGACGAGCGGCGTGACAATATCATGCTTGCGCAGTCGCGGACGAAGCTTCGCAAGTGCTAGACCGACCAGCCACAGCTCGTATATAATTGCTTCAAGTTCATCTTGAAGTCAGCTGCAGTACGTGCGTGCGTTCCAATATTAATTGGCGCGAGGCTCACCTGGGATCCAGTACAGCGGGACAATAGCACCTTGACTCCCATTAGGACAGGCGCTATGCCAGTTTGCGATGGTCAGGAATAGGTGGTTCCCGCCGTCATCACTTGCAGTGAGGAGGCCACCGGGATAGCCGCTACCATCAACTTGAAAGAGGCCGGGGAGTGGCGAGCAGAGTATCGGCCAAGCAAGCCAAAGGGATAGCATTAATAACACTTCCATGGCGAAGATGAAGATGTTGAGAGCTGCGAGACGTGGGCTGCCGTAGAGTGCGTGAACGCGCAGTTGCAAGATGACTGGAGCCGTCACGCTGGTTAGGACGTTGAACTGATTTCACGAACGACGCACCTTCCACGATCCATAGAAGGGCGAAGTCGAGGGCAGGTGCGAACTTGGCTATCCAGCTCGACTGGGCGTTGATGTATTGACTTGTGTTGGACGTTGCCACAGAGAACAGATCCTGAGAAAAGAAGAACATCCGTTGTCAAACTCGCAGCTTTACAAGGTACCGGAAGACGGTGTGATGTAGTTTGCTGCGTACCGTGGTGTTTGGCCACACATAGGACGCAAATGTGATAGCGAGGCTCGCAAACCCGGCGTAGCGCGTCTAGACGTCGTGATCAGGGTCCCAAAAGCGGATGCAAGGAAATGACTGGCGCACGAGAAAATATATAGGGTCCGTCGCGCGGGAAGGGCGGCTCTATAGAGGGAGAATGGAGATATTAGTGTTCAGAAAGACGCGATTGTGGTCTGGAACCGAGCATCACCCAGATGTAGTCAATCTGAAACGATCAGGGTAAACATGATGTACAAGTGCGATGACGAAAGTTGAGCACCTCGTCCTCCAATGTAAGCACTACGTGCAGTACTCTCAGCAGAGAATCGAGCAAGAGTTCATACGCACGTTGATCATACACCGCCCAGACAAGAGCAGCAACTACCGAACATTACTCGCCCATCCGAGGCCGGGGATAGCACATACCACAGCAGTAGTTGACAGAAACGGAAGAGTCGAGGACGTAGTAGAAATGAGCGACGAGTTGGGCGACGTTCGTGTCCTGGCTGGGTACAGCAGGGTCAAGTAAGCCACCTGCGGGCGTCCCCGACACGCCCATGAAGCGAAGCGGGATATGACTGCGCGCGCTGGACAGCCAGTACTTAAGGCAAAGAAACGAGGGAGCAGTTGGCCGACGGTTCCGCGAGCAAGATCAATCTGCGCTTCATTCGACGACGGCGTTGCGGTTCCGAGGCACTCGCTGTCAACTGTACAATGTGTCGCATTGCACGCGGAAAAGTAGGCGTCGTTCTTACATGTCTTGCCCAAAACGAAAACGAAAGCGTGCATTCACATTCCCCGGCCTCTTGGCCCGCCGCGACCTCGAGGTGGCCCGCCGCGTGGGTTCCCGCGTCCTGCAAATCCTGTGTGTGTCATGTTAGATCGTGACGTTCAAGTCAAGGGAGTATGTATACCTCCGCGTGGAGGCATACCGCCACGACCACCTGCGCAACGATGAGAAACTGCAACGCCGAGAGAGATGCGGACGCGTACCGCGTTGACCTGGACCTCCTGGACCGCCGCGCGCGCCACGATTCGCTTCACGTGCACGCAATTGCTCCTGCTTAACGCTATCGAGCAGCTGGTCCGGTACACGCAGATATTTTATCTGCGATACCAGTCAGACACGAGGTTGCGACGCGTCGGGTTTTGCGCACCGTGCTGCCGCGGATGTAACACTCCTTAAGTTTCCAGAACCTGTCGCCCTCCGCGCTCGTCTGATATACCTCGCGCAGCGTGATATTCATAAAGTTGTCGCAGTTCACCAGATGCCCGTTGAACGTCTCCCCGTTCTTCAGCTCGACCAGCTACGCGTCTGCGGTTAGGTTGCGCCGACGCGGATGGGCGGACAGACGCACCATGGGCTTGCTCTGGGCCGCATTCAGCAGTGATAACGGTAGCTGCGCGGCGCAAGGTCAGCGAACGCGCTTTGTGCCACATGTTCGGCGCGCTCACCATCGTAGAAGGCAATGAGCAAGTATTTGTCCGTGTTGTCACCCTACTTGTCTTTCACCCCTCTGCTCTCGAACTTCCCAACTGCCAGCAACGACTGAATGTTCTTCATACGTCTCAAGCCTCAAACGACTGCTTAAACTGCTGCACTGCTCGCTGTACGAAGTCCCTGGCTGCTCTGGCATTCGACCGCATCGCACGACTATGCTGGGTGGATCCTGGCTATAGACTAGCTTCTGCACCAATTTATTGGCAGATAACGACTCTTCGTATATGTATACGGGACAGAAAGATCGTGGCTTACAGTTCTCTCGACGGTTCGCTACACCCTTCCTACGCTTAGAGCGTCAACGCACGCTGCCATGTTTGTCAATTGCCTGTAACAGGATCATGCTTACTCCATCAACGTCGTTGTGACATGGCGCGGTCTGTACATCTGAACGAGGTGTGTGCGCAATCTGCAGTACTCAGTCATCAAGTTACTTTTGCTTAGAGGACAAAATGGAGGACGCGTCAATACAGTGATACTGGCTCATAAGCTCAGCATTAGAACTATGGAACATCTGGGTTACATGTAAGCGCCAGACTTCTCCATCTGCAGATGTATTATCGATCAATTTCAGTACATATGACATATCCGCAACGCGGTCCCGCTTTGGAGCAGCTATTGTACATCCGAGCGACATCCCGACGGTACCGGCGTCATACTCAATTTGTGCTCGAATGTTTCGTACGTCGGTGTTGCGCACCCTCCGCTTCAAGCTTCAAGTTCGCACTCCGGGTTAGATGCTTGGTTCGACGGCTCCGATAGCACCTCCACCAGCGGCTGCTGCGTCATGTTCGGCGCATTATGCCCGTTTCCTTCTCTCCCTCTTCTCCTATCGCTCGCTCGAGCCTCCGTGCGATGTCGGGCAGCAGCAGCTTCAACGACTCGCTTGGATGCAAGCGGACAGTACATACTGCCGCCCTTGTAAACTCGCGCGTCGAACTCTCGACAACTGTCCTCAGCCGTGCGATGTCCACAGAGTCTACGCCCCTCTACCATGATGGCGATGTCGTATGCGGTAGCGTTCACGTCAACGTTGCGAAGAAGCGAAGCGTGTCAGGGATCTCGGTTTCGGTGAGTCCAGCACAGTGCAGCTTCCCCTCGCGGTGCCCGTGTATGGTGATTACTCATGTACTATCAGGTTCACGGGCGACACTCTTGCTTGGATACCAACGAGGTGACGTTCCTACGCGTGTCTCAAGAGCTCTGGGTCGCGAACAAGGCGACAATGCCGAAAAACAGCGGCACGTACGTGCGCGACCTGCGAGGGACGAACATATGGGACTTCGCCATCCAACTTCCGATGCTCTGTAACAAGATCTCCGAGCACAACGTCCCCTTGCCGCCGTCTTTCGGGACTGCTTCCTTGCCAGAGGCCGTATTATACGAGATACGCTGCGTCGTGCGAAGGGGCGTGTTCTCCGAGAATGAAGAGTTCGTACCCGATTGCCTTTGATCCGTCGTGTGTTGCCTAACGCATAGACCACTTCAGGCTTGTGATACCTCTGCAATACCGCCCACGGACTGTAGCAGGGCGGCCTTCAGCTTCTATCCTTCACGCTTACACCTGCGGCGCACCAATTCCTGGACCGGACATTGATCCAGAAGCCTGGATAGCAACGCGGCGTGTCCTGACCGGAGACTTCTTCTCGCGGCGTCAAGTTCAAATCGAAATCGAAGTATGTTCCCAGCGCCTCGCAGCACGCACTTCGACTAACACACGCCCGGGAACTTCAGTTCTCTTTACCAGCACCGTTGCGTTATGCCAGAGGAGACCCGTTACCGTTCGCGGTCAAGGTGTACTGCGAGGATCAGCAACTGGTGGACCTCTTCGCAGCCTCGCCGAACTTTATCATGGCGGAGTTACAGCGCAGGGCTGAGTATCACACTGTTGGGTCCACTTCACTCGAAAGTATAGTCGGTCGCGGTCACTCCTGGCCCACAGCGAAAACCGCGTCGACGCTTTGCATCGCCGGAGAGATCCCACTATCTGCAGTCCTGCAGCCGTCATTTCGACATATTAGGTTGGCCATACTGGTTTGTGTCCTTAACTTGCTAGCCTATGTAGGAAGTGACTGACATTCCCGTTGAAGTACTCAGTGCGGTTTCATTTGCGTTGTCCTGGATTGCATCTCCTTCCCGGCTCTCAAGTCACATCCATGACCGCTGAGATATGTGCGCTTAGCCCACCTGGTCCACGGCCGGTTTCGTATGCCTCTAGTGTATCGCCGATACACGTGCAGATGCTGTGCGAGGACGATGCACATACTCTCTCGCTGGGTGTCATGCACAACTCCAGTAAAATTGTATGATAGCAAAGGTTGAATCATAGATTGTTGGTCGGAGCACCGCAGCTCACAACGGGTGCCCGGAAGTGGAAGAGCGTATGGCAAGTGCCGGTGGATCGATCGGGGTCGTTGCTGCCGTCCAGGAAGACCAACATCAGCGTCATACTGTACGGTGTAGATGCCTTGGGCAAAAGGAATATCAGGAGATGACGAAAAACTTCCTGGCCGGGAGTCGAACCCGGGTTACGCGCGTCCGTCGGAAGTTCCCGTTCGGGAATTACCGAAATGACAGGCGCGTGTCTTAGCCGTTGGACCACCAAGAACCGATGAGAAGGGAAGTTCCAATATGTATATAAGACCATAACCATTCATGAGATCCTTACAGAAAATTTCGTCCCATTGTCCTCGACTTCCTGACCTAGTTGCTCACAGAAATGTGGGTTTACGGGTAGTTCATAAGAACCAGCAATGGAATTCAGCCGAGTTGGAGCCGTTGTGGAGGCTTTGATAATCTTTGAGTAGGAGAGCGTGATGTGCAAGGGGACAGACAGGACGATGCAAAGTCTATACGGTGGCTTTTCTGTGTGCGCCGGGTACGGACGACGATCTCCGTCGCGTGTCTACACCATTGCCGTGACCAGTCTGTGATGTCCGTTGCCCGTCTCCCAACACGCTCTCATCCCCGACATCCACATACGGCTCGTCGTCCAGCGGTTGCGGCTCTTGCTTCTTGAACTCTGATGGCAAAAGCACGGCACGGTCGATTGCAACGGGCAGCCCACGGTGGCGTCCGCGAATCATCACGGCACAGATGATGAGCTTCGACAGCGGCTTCAACTCTCCGGAGAAGGAGTAGTTTGCCTAAGAATACAGTCAACTACTGTTGAGAGACACACGAGCGGTATCGGAATGACTCACATTCGGTGTCCCAAGGCTGAGGCCCACCGTCCCGTACGCCGACACCAGTTCGAAAACTGTTGGTAGGGTCAGACGCCATCTACGCAAAGATTGACAGCTTACCAATGCTGAATATGTTGAACCAGGCTTCGTTGTTCGGGTTCTGGATCTGAGAGCGCTGAGGACGTCGTCAGGCCAAGGGAAGCCGAC